GTGATTCGTATCTCCCAGATACACACGCACTTCCGCCGAACCGCCGAGCCCATAAATTATCTGCACTACATTTCCACACACAAAATTTTGAAAATAAAAAAAAAAATTAAGGGGGAAGGGATGAAGCTCTAGGGAACCCGACTCCTTCTTTTCCAAATCAAATCCCTAACTCGCTGAAAGTTCCGCAACCATTTGTCCGCTGACCAACGCCTCGAATGGATCTCGAATGTATCTTGCCGTGATCTTGACCAAAATCGCGGTCAGTTTACCGCCGGCATTTCGCGATCTTTTGTTTTGTTTTTTTTCGGTTTCTGTTTCGGTTCCTTCCTCCACGTTGTGTTTGTGTTTTTATTACATTTTTTTTTCGCCGATCTGGAGCAAATTGGTTTTTGGCGGTTAATAAATTTTCAAATTAATTGACTAATTGCATACCTACAGCGGAGCGAGCCGAATCGAAGCAGAAAAAAGTGCAAGAAGTGAGTCGAAAAAGATATGAATGTAAATTCAACGATTACCGGATATATGTAAACATAGGAATATAATGTTGGCTCAGTTACGACGACTCCCCTTGGAGGTGGATATCATTTACCATTTCAGCTGCTGGCCAAACCGTAACCAATCATTAGCCTGATGGCACAGTAAATAGAAGCAATGGATGAGATACACACGCTTTAATGACACAATGATATGGTGAATTGCATTTCTCGGGACCGGTAATCAAAGCTCGGTTAAATGTGGTTTAAAGTGTTTTGTGCTATTTGAAGAGTGGAACTAAATACACAGTGTTTTGTGACAATATCTTGGCTTGAATGGTAAAAATAGCAACCTGTATTTAAAAGATACAGATACAGAAAGAAGCGTTCTGAAAATTAGTGCTTTGAATAATTGCTTAAAAGCAACATTAAATGCTTTTATTTCATGTATGATTTCTAGATTTAGTTAATAGTATTTTGGAGGTATTTCAAAGGTCTTTTCAAATGTATCTTATTATCTTTTCTTTTATAAAACTACACAACGTGAGCTTAAATCCCTATCAACTTATATACCTTAGTTAATAATAATCTAATCTTTCTACGGGCTATCCCTAGCTGACCACACCTGATTTTAGTCCTTATAATTAGCAAGGACACACTCTCCCTTTTTTTTGTCGCCCCCTTTACCCCTGCCCAAAGTGTTCATTACGGCAATGAAGCCGAAATTACTAATTCATTAATTGAAACCTGTGAAACCCCGGCACACTCGTCCAGCTCTGACCAGGGCCAGATGTCCGTCCATTGGAGACACATGCCGGCAGCATGTCCTTGTGAGCCCCCTTTCAATCCCCCCAGTTCCATTCGCTCTCTGCAGATGCTGCTGGAAATGCCAACGGTAAAAACGAAAGTGCCCTGTTGCCATTTTATGAACTTACAGCACTTACACTTGCCACACACAAAGTGCTCCCCAGTTAATAATTTCGAAGTGTGTAAAATCAAATTGCTACGAGGATGTGGATGTGGATTCGGATGCGGATGTGAGTGGCATGTATCTGCCAGATACTTGGCCTAATTTGCTGGTGATTTGAAGCTCATCAAATGAATGGCTGAATTCTTCTTCTAATTTATGCATAAGCGTGCTGCGGCAGTTTTCAGAGCTTCTATCTGGGATTTTTCTTTTTTTTTTTTTGGGTTTCAGCATATGTGCGAAATTTTTGCACTCTGTACAGATACTTTTTTTTTTTGCATTTCTCTTTCTTTTTTGGACGGACATTTATCCGTATTGCAGGTGCTGCCGTTTGTTTGTCTGGACTCGGAATCCCTTTCTCCCCAACCGCCTTTCTCCGTCGCCTCTGGTTTGCCGGCATTGTGTAATGTCTATGAATATGAATTATGGAAATTGCAGAGCCACAACGACAAGGACAACGACCAGCGAACAGCAGTCTGAGGACTCGCAGTACTCATACGTATTTGGCACAATTTTTTGCCACCTTTTTGTCATTTGTTTGCGAATTTTAAAACCCTCCTGGGAGGGTTTTTCAGTTGTTTGTTTTGTTTTGTATCTTTTTTTTTGTGTTTCCGAATATTTGCTTACGATTTTTTGAGGCCATCGGAACAGTGACCGAGTTTTGGATCGATCTACTTTTGACTACTAGGACTATACAGGAAATATGTTTTATATTCCTTAATTTTCCTATCTTAATAGTCTTTAAACTCCACTCTAAAAACACCTTGTGGGATCTTCCCCTAAATCAATCCCCTCGATAAGTAAACCTGCTCCCCATTAAAATCGCATAAATTCAATTAAAAGTGAACACCGGCTGAAAATTGCGAAATTATACAACAAAAGGAACTCTCACATTCGCACTCGCCCCCGACTGGCCACGCCCCCCTGCGTCGGACATCCGCCGCTGACATTTACATTTAATGCTTGCAAATTTAACAAATAATATTCAATTAACAATTTGAATATGAATTTATTACAGGGGTGCCGGTGCCGAAGCCGCTGACTGCCGTCGGGGGCCGAACCGCGCGTCCAAAGTGGTAACAACTTCGACATCGCCAATCGACATGTGTGTATGGTATGTGCAAAGGGGGTTGGCTGAAGTTGGCGGGAAGTAACGAGTTGGCCAAGTGGCCGACTTGTTTACCCTGCCACCAGCAGCAAACATACAAAACAAAGCAACAGCAAAAAAACCTAAAAAAAAACAACGGAGAGAAAAACAAAAAACAAAACAGAGCGGGAGAGAGAGAAAAAGTTATGTGAAAAAGGTGGGAAAATGCAAGCATTGTTAGCCTTTTGGCCAGGCTAAAAGGTAACGAAGCATGCAGCCACTGATGGACGGAGACACTCAGAGAAAGTTGTTAAAAAAAACTAAATTTTTAGTTAAAAAGAAACATATTTCTTTGCTATATGAAATATATATCTTAAGGCATTTCTATAAAGTATAAATGTAAGACTCAGACTTATAAAGATTTTCTCCAAGTGCACTTGGAGGAAGCCGCGCAGGAAGCGCAAGGAGCATAGCACAACTCCTGGCAGGCCGCACATTTCAATAATTATTAACTGCAACATGCTACATGCAACATGGCCACATGCAACGTGCAGCGTGCCGCACAGTAGCCACACCACACACACACACACACACGTTCGGTGACTCGCACACACGGTTACTAGGGGGGACACCAGCAATTATCAAAACTTGTCCAAATTGACATTTTTTTGCCGGGCGGTCGGTCGACCATCCACCTGGCTGGCCATTCAGGCAAAGGAGTCGGGCATGGGGGCGTCAGCCCGTTGGCCATTGCATTTTGGCACGTTGCGGATTTTGAAATGCAAACACGGCATTTAATTCTATTAAGGCCGCTATTTAATTATCTCTTGCGGGTTCGGACCTAAACGCGGCGGACTTCAATGTCAGCGGAGCCGGAAGAGTACAGTGGAGTGCAGAATCGGTGGGGTCCTCCTGACCAAGACCTCCCCTTCCCTCCCCCAAAAATCCCTCTTAAGTGGCGGCCTTAATCCGCAGCCAGTAGCTGGGCTTATCTGGGCTTATCGAAGAGTGCCAAAAGTGCTGCTGCACTTGAAGAAATTCAGTTGAGCGTTAAGATACTTTGAAGAGAGTTGGTAAAGTTGGAAAAGTATTTTTAGCTCATATAAATTTCATTATTTTTAAGTACAAATAAGATATATTTCAATTTAAATATATTCTTTTGGTAATTAAACTTTTAATTCCAATGAAAAAAATATTTTTCCCCGTGCACATGGATCGTGGATCTTGAATCTGGGATAGCTGATCCCCAGATCACCACCGAGTGGTGCTTGGCTGCCCACTTGTTGCGCCTGTGCCAATATTTAGCTACCGATTTGCACGAGATTATCAATTGAATATAAATAATAAGTGGGAGCGAAGTAGCCGAGTCCCGAGTCCAGAGTATCTGAATCTGGGTGGCTTGGCTTCGTTGATGGCCCCGCAATTTTGCGCCTCAATGCGCCGGCAACAATGTATGTAATTTGAGTGGCCTGCCCTGAAAAAAAAAAAACCAAAGACAACAAAAAAAAGGAAGCTCAAGACCCGCGCTGATCAGATCCCACTTCCCTCAGAGGCTTCCCCTGTCCCCCAGCTTCTTCCTTGTTCACGTGTGTAATTGGATTTTAAGAAGTAGCTGCGTGAGACAAGACTGATTGATAACCTCGCATCAAAAGGTCCCAAACAACAGGCTGAAATAAACGCCTTCAGTGGCTCTGGGGCTTTGATGTTCGCGTTCGGCGGTGAATATCGTAAAGAAAAAGGTCTGCAACGAATGCGTTATACACTTTTAATATAGGAGGGCACAACAGAAAGAGTTTTAAAATTGTTTAAAAATGTTTTTAATCAATATTTTGACACAAAAGATTGCTGCTGCCTTTAGATTCTGTAACTTACATGCTGAATGAAGATTATCTTTATATTTAAAAACCTACTCTAGTCCCCATTTTGCAGGGTATATAGTAACAAAAAATACACGCAATTCTCCTGCTCGATCGGCAGCGGGAACAAAAGCTGATAGCGCGATGTCCGATAGGGAAAAGGGAGCCGTTTCAACGAGGCGTCCAACCGGGCCGAGATCCCTTCATCCGAACTCTCCCCCCCTCAACTGTGCGTGTTTGTTGGCCAATTGAATTGCCATGTTTAATATTAATTGCCAGCAGTGAGCTGACCAGCAGCAGGCCAGCTCGAACATGGCGAGCTCTTAGCCGGAGCGTAATCATGGGACAGTGAATCAATCATTTCCACACGCGGCCCCCAGGTTTTCCCGGCCCACCCACAGCCCCGCCTCCTGCAAGTGCATACATTTTTTTCCGCCACCTTTAATGTATGCTAGGGTATCAAAACACCGACACCGCGTAGTGATTAGTATTCTAGATTTTAGGTAGGGATTAGTAGACCTGCTCGATACTCTCTACGCTTTATACTCTACTATATTATTCTTTTCGGAAACTTAAGAGCGAATAATGTAACGAAATAAAAGTGGAAATTTTCTTACCCATGTCTGTTGATATGCCGCCGTATTGTGTTAAATCAGATCTTATCTTACCTGAAAATGCAAGCCAAAGCAGAGAGAAGAAAACGTTTAAAAAATGTGGAATCAAAATTGTTTGCTCTCGAGAGATCTCTGCAGATCTCTGAGATGCAGATGGATGTGGGAATAGTGGGGGTTAAGGGAGGAGCTTCATAGGGTTAAGCAGCCGCACGTGTTACGGAGCTTGTGTGGGGAGTTTTGCCAACCCAAGCTTTGTTGTTTAATGGATATTTAAAAGGAGTATAAGATAACTAGGAAGTTTGAGAATTAATATTATTTTATTTATTTAAATGTATTTATTAATCTGTATATAAAATAATATTTTCATGAATATATCTAAGCAGAATTCATGATCATATCCTATATTAACAATCTATCTATCTAATCTATCTACAGTGTAACTATATAGTTCGTTTTAAGTTCTTTACTAACCAAACTCCTCACTTGAAAACTGCTACTTATCATCTCTAAGAAAGGCCGGTTCTGTGCAATATACACACAATAAATAATAATGTGGATTCCCCTCCTTAAATTCCATTTCCTAATCAGTTTAAAATGCTTAAAATTCCCATTCAGGAAGAGCACTGTGCGTTTTCTGTACCCTAGCCGAAGTGCACTCCATAGCTCTTGATAACTCGTCTGGCACTACGAGAGTCTTCCAAAGTTTGAACTAGAGGCTATCAATCGCACTCAGACTGATGCATGGACACGGCATTATCGCCTCTTTCTATCGCTTTTGCCTTTTGCTGGATGTCTCGCCTTTTTTCACGATATTTAGCGTCGCCGGGACTTTGTTTATGCCATGAAAGTGCAAAATGTAAACAATCCGGAATGCCAACGACTCGAAAAGGGGGCGTTGAGGGGGCGGTAGAAAAGGTAAAAGTATAAAAATATGATTTAATGGCAGCGATAAAACACGTGTGTATTTAAATATGCGCGCCTGGCGCCTGAGTAAACGTAATTTTCAGGAAGCACACACAAAGAGCAGATACTACGTAGCCAAGGCCCAGAGCAACCCGAAAAGAAACAACAAAGAAGATACCAAATTAAAAAGAAAACGAAAATTGCCAAAAACTATGAAGGGTTTTTTTTCGAATATTTTCTCATTTTTTTTTTGTATTTGCAGTTGAAAATTATGAAAGAAAAACAGACAGAAACAAAGGAAAGCGGGGCCAGCAGCGCCACTTTAGACAAATTCAAACAAATGGCTGGCAGCGGGGTGATGCTGTTTACATGCGACGCGACTTGTAAAAATTAAACATTTAGTTTGCGGTCGCCCCCTGGAAAAACAGAAAAAAAACCACCACCCCTCGCCCCCTGGATTTTCACACCTTCTCCTGTTTTCCGGAGAGTTGGGGGGAAAATGATTTTTATGACTCTTTAAGGCGGCGCACGCCTCGCTTTGCGGGAGGATTAGCCGCCAGCCGCATAAATGAGCGGAGAGAAAGAGAGAATGTCTGTGGAGAATTTCAGGGGGAATTCTCCGGTAGCAAAAGAGAACATTTGCCGGCTGCTGGTGCAGTGCAGCTTGCGGCGTCTTTGGCCTTTTATAGCCCCATCAAAGGGGCTGATATAAATCTTAATTGCCGACCCAAATAAATAGACGCCAAGCATGTGGCATTCGGACTCGGATTCGGATTCGGATTCGGAACTTTGAATGCAACGCAACTCAACTTGGACGCCGGACAGCTTCACTTTCGAGTGGAAAACTCGTTAGCTATTTAGCATAAACACTTTCCCAGTTTCCACTCTGTTTTGACCAGACCAAACTGATAACAAACAGCACTGAGAAGTTGTGGCCCGAGAAGAAGTCATTAAGGAAACATTAAATTGACATTAATGTGGCCCCAAAAGGAGCCAAGGATCCCAAGCTCTGACCAAGTTCTCAGTGCAGCCGGATGATAAATCAAACTAGTAATCTATAAATTATAGTATACGAAGTGTATATATACAAATCGATGACCCAACAACGAAAAAATATGGTTGGTAACAGTTACCCACATTTCGACCAAGCCAGATCTCGTAAATCAATGGTTGCCAGCAAAAAACGGGCTCTCGAAAGAAGAGGCCTCAACGAATACCAAATGCCCTAATTTTCCACAAAAGAGTGGGTAGAGGAAACTAGTTTGAAATATTATGCGGAACACCAGTGTTAAATACCTCATTCATATATAATATTCTGAAACATTTTGAATGGGGGTGCAGAGCCGAGAAATATGCTTAATGATCACTAGTCTTGAGTAGCACTCATTATGCGATCTCGAAGCATGTGTAGTAGCTTTGTACACATGAAAAAATTATAGGTATTGATTTCAAAAATATATTTTATTATATTTTATAAATGAATAAATGCACTTTAAATTAATATTCGAATACATGAAATGGTATTGCTTAAAGCCTAAACCATTATATAATCTTTTGATGGAATTTACTTAGCTTTCTGATATATTTTCACGTGTATTTCTAATGCCTGAACCACCTGAAGCCGGTCGTTGGACAATTGTGAACCCATAAATCTTTGTCTTTTTAGTCTTTAAGATTTCTATCTTAATTGAAGCTCATTATAATATGCGTTTCCTACTAGTTCGTTGTTCAACTTCTGTTACACAAGCGATATCCGAGCAAGATGAGCTGAGAGAGACTATGTGGGGGCTGCTTTTGCACTCGGAGGAGAACCTGGGATCAGATCGCAATCAGGTCGCTACGATCCGATCCGATCCCCATACCAATCCCGGCAAGAGGCCACCACCAATGAATTATTAATAATAAATAAATCATTATTAAAATCAAAATAATACACAAATATGCATATTATCGGAAACAACATGGAATTGTGTGCCAGCGAGTGGTGTGCTTGTGTGTGTGTTTCGTTTCATGTTTACGCCACTTTCCCATACAGACACACAAGTGGTTATAATGAATGATTTGTTGTTTTATAATAAACACGCCGTCGAGCGTCGAGCACCGGAGTTGGCGTCTTCCGAGTGGCGATGGCTATGACGTAGCCAGCAAAGGGTTAAGGGGCCAGTCAAGGGAGGGAGCAGCGGTGCTTTGGTCACTAACGTCTGCTGTATATATATGTATATGTTCCCATACTCCCCCATAATTCCGCTTCTTCGGGACTCACGACCCTTGTCCCTTTTTGGCATGGCTGCATTGCGCCCCGTCCCGTTCGCTCCTTCCTGACCGCGTTGTTGTTTTTATTAGGTATCAAAAACACCTTAAAACATGATTTTGCAACTGGCTAAGAAAAGACGTACGAGCACAGTGGGCCAGCGGAATATTAATAATTAATAATAACTGCTTGTTCACATGACATTTGTATGTTAAACAGATGATCGATTACGTGAATGTCACAATGCGGAAGAAGCCTACAGCACCGTAATTATTCCTTATCAGCCATCGATTATAGTATATAAGTATATATTTACCGTATATATAGTTCTAGTTCTAGCTGGTTATTATTTGCGTTAATCAAATTATATGAAAAATAAATGGGTTATACGTTTTATTAGGGGCATTAAATGTTTATGATTATAACTTGGCGCCATCAACATTTTATATATTCATTTATAGCCCATAAAACTCAAGGGTTTACTTTATTATATTACTTCAAATATATTTTATTTGTGACTAGATTGTATTTTGACATCAATGTAATAACTAAACCTTGAGAATCAAGCAAAATATATTAAGTATTTTTAAAGAAATGTTAATAATATTCCTAAGACTTTTCATTGAAAAATTTTGTGTTTTTAAAGGCATTTATGAATTATTTAATAGACATCAAGAATATAAATTGTATTGCAATTATTTTCCTAATAGATTTTTCAATAAAAAAATGTTTTTAATATTTCTCTGCATATTTTTCTGATTTTTTAGGAATAACTTCAAGATTTGCCCATTGCAACATCGCGGTCCTCGAAAAAAAAATCCAAGGGGAAAAGCCCAAAATTGCTCTTCGCCCTGCAGCTCCTCAAGGTAGATATTTTTTTTTTATTTGCTGGGCCATGTGTCTGGGCCACTTTGTGTTGTCGTCGTTGTCGACGTCGACGTCTTGCAACTTTGGTCTCGACTGGCAGTCGCAGTCGCAGTCCGAGTCCAACGACTTGAGGACCGCCAAGGTGCTTATTAAATTCCTTATTTAAAAATACATTAAAAAAATGCAAGAAGCTGCTGGCCCAGAACCCGAAAACCAATCCCCGAAAATACAAAAAAAAGAAGAGATCGATTGAGAGAGGAAACCGAAAGGGGGCCTCCCTAGGTCGGCAGCATCCGCCACAGAAATTGTGTTTTGATTTGCCTTTTGATTTTGCATTTTGCGGCTCGGGGAGAAAAATGATTAAAAGCGCGCGTTGAAATGCTTTCCTGTGTGTGCTTCGCTTGCACTTTGCCATTTACATAATCATCGCAGCCACAGCCGCACTTCCTTTCTACAAAATTATTTTTAAGTGCAATTAATTGCATGTTGCATTTGCAACTATTGCCTGACATTTGAACTGAATATTGGGCCTCTAAAGATGCCATAAAACCATTGACCTTGGCAGGATCTTATGTACTACGTGCTGGTCACAATTGCAGGTAGTTGCCAGGATACAAGGCATCCCGATAATTACGTCACAGCGTGAGAGTCCTACTCTCGGGAACTGCGGCAAATATGAATTATGATTGCTCGATACGTGTCAATTGCCAGTTTGGTCGGCCATTCTCAAGGTCATTGTGGGACAAAAAAAAGAACAAGCCGCAGGAAATCTATCTTTTACGGTGAAACAACAGCTACACTTGGAGAAATAAATAGTTGTAAACTTTAAATAATATTCATAAAATAAAATACATATTTAAAGAGTTTAAAGAATACAAAAATTAACTTTTATATTACTTTTTAAAATGTAAACTAAAGTTTTAAATAATTTTCAATCTAGTTGAACACCGGAATTTTGTAATAAAAATGTAAATTTATCTTTTGATAAATATTATTTTCAAATTTTGAATTTAAGGTAAATATTTTAGGTTTTTTTTATAATTTCGTGCTGTGCATTGGTCAAAATTAGGCGGCAGACAAACTTTGGACAGCCAGAAACCGCCGCCATAAAGCACTTCGCCGACGTGAACCTCACACACCGGCCCAGGCAAATAAAGCAAATTTACGAATTTATGTTGAAATTTATCGATAATGACTTAAAAGCCTTCAGGACAATGATTTAATGCTCCGCACAGCACCCAACACACAACACACACAGCCAACGGGCCAAGAACAGCATTCAAACAACATAGCGAGCAACGCCAACACCACAACAAAACCCCTCTGATGTGGGTTTTTCAAATGTGAAGCCATGTTTAGATACGATAAAATTGAATTCGGTTTGCATTTCGGGCCCCGGATCAGCGGCAAATGATCGATGATCGCTGGAAGTGTGCGCCGATTTATTTATGACTTGATTTTCCGTTGCCTTCCAAAGATTTAATCAGTTTGCTCAGAGCAAATCGCTTAAAATTAAATTATATTCGCGAGTAAATCAAATCGGCTATATCACTTGACAAATAGCAATGATGGCGATAAGAGAGCAAAAAAAAAAAAAACCTATAGCCCAATGATTTGTAGATTCTATGAGAAGATAAATTCATTCCCAGATAATCCAAGTTCCAAGTTCACTGTTTCCCGTCTCTTCACGAAACTCAACTCGCTCTGGCCGAATATCGTAAATGGGCAGCTCATCTCGTTTTCTTATAAGAAACCACTTAAAAAGGTAGATTCAGGTGGGAACTGATTCTGACATCTTCAGGTAAGAATTTGTTAGAACTTCTTAGACTCATTTGAGGGTGATTTTCCCCATGAGGTGTCGGAGCTACGAGAGACTGCCACTTACATAAAAGAGTGTTATAAAAGGACACCCTGTATGGAGGCCATATCTTTCGTCCCGGCCAATTCATCACCGACACTTCGGTCTGGGTCTGGAGCAGCGCATAAATTTCATTATGCCGATCATCTCGCTGAATCGATCGAGTTGGCGAGGGAAAAACCTGTCGTAGGGCTCTCGAATTTAGTTCAACTTTAATTGTTTTTTAACCAGCTCTTGGCGTTGGCTATAAGTGAAATTTGATTGATTTTTGAAGGGTATTTTTGACGAGTTTTTATCGTGCACTAAAAGAAAAGTATTGTTTAAAATATTATACAAAATAATAGGTTAATAAATTAAGAAATCTATACGATATTCAAAAAGATATAATATAAAATTGTCATACTTTTTATAAATAAAAATGAATTTCCTAATTTATATTTGTTCTAAAAACCCACAACTAATTTTTTCAGTGCCCAACTCGGTGCAATTTATGTTCGATCTAGACCTCCTTCGGCTGACCTACTCCTGGCCCTGTTCAGTGGCATTGTTCTTGGCCCAAACGGCAATCTCAGACTCAAGTCCCAAGCCGTTCGCCTCGCTCGGTTGGTGGCTAAAAAAGCCAGGGAAAACGGCAACAACGGGGCGAGGTGCTGAACGTAATTACATAATGGCGTAGTTAACCGTAATAAGCGCGACTTCTGCTCGCAGTGTGTGTCCTGAAAGGATTCCCTTCCTGTTGCCTTGCTGAGTTTTCTGCTATTTCTCCTATTTCGCAGCCCTTTCAGCCGCATGCCATAATTCACGCTCCTTGTTGCACAAATTGCAGCTCACTTGGGCTGCCAGAGCGTAGCAACAATTACCGCCGAGCATCATTAAAGGTAAAGGTGACAAAAATTAGTAAACAAAGTGTTGGAAATTATGAGGCAGCCGGCCAAAGGAGTGCTGCAAGCTAGGTGTCGGCAGACGGCAGACGCAGAAGCCGCCACAGCGGCAGGTGGAAGCCAGTTTTCCGGCTTGTTTATGGCTCCGAGCTTTCTGATCTTGCTTAGAGTGATTAAATCGCTTAAATTGCCGGCCAGCGTATAAACTATCCGCCGATTGGCTTTAAATAGAATAAGTGGAAAATAATTTGCACTTGGCCAAAGGAAACTTTGGAGAGCAAATTTCACATGGCTAGGCACTTGTTTAAATTCTTAATTAATCTACAAACATGATTATGTTTATATATAATTTTTGGTTTAGATAAATCTTGATGTTTATATAAATACTTGTTTTAGATTTGGTTGCTTTTAACAAAATTATGTTAACACTTAATAAATTTTAAGGAACATGTCACACTGCTATGGCTGCTCCAGCCAAAAATTATTTCTTTTAAAATTTCTATATGAAGAAAATAAATTTTTTAAAAATATTAAAACACTCTGATAAGATGAAAGAATATGTAAACAACATTTTCGAACCTATTATAAACACTACTTAGTTGATTAAAAAATTTTGTATAAATATTTAAAAGTCGTTAAAGCTTTCCAATGGCTAAAGCGGTTACCCTTGTTCGATATGAGCTTATGTATTATTTTCGTATTACTTGTTGACTTTGTCTGTTTATCAAAAAGACACTAATTAGTCACAGGAAAAAATAGTGTTGATTTAGCTGAAGTCTATTAAACCAGGGCTTAGATACTAGATTTCACTTAGATAACAGTTGGCAAAACAACAAAACTTTGGCTTGGTTTAAGGCTAAGGCTCTTTGATTGAATTCGATTTTAGAAGAAATTATTTTGTTCTATTAAATATTTACATAAGAAAAAAGAATATGCTAAATATATAATTATTTTTAAATATTAATATTTTTCGAACATTTTAAAACAATTTTTAGAAGAATTTTATTTGTATTGAAATATGTTTTAAACATATTTTTTATAAGAGATAGGTAAGGTAAGGTAAAAAATATATATAATCAATTTAGATTGCACGGTTTTTGATTGTAATAAATAATATTATTTAGGCAAAAATCTGGGAAATATAAAGCAACCTTTGGAAGCGCATTGTTTAGGCATCCCTGCTCAAAACCCAAATCGAATTCAATCAAAGCGATAAGCCTATAGGGGTTTAGTTTGTTTGGGGATTCTTTTTTAAGGACTTTAAGTGGACTTGTGCTTTAGTGGACACTCACTTTTGGTCGGATCTTCAGGACACTCACCTGCGATAGCCATCCAGGGGTAGAATGTGTGATTGCTGGCCTGGTGTAAACTGCTGGCGGCCGCCGTCTGAGCGGCGGCGGCACCCGAGATGGTACAGTTGGCGTTCCAGGCGGTGCCCGCTCCCGCGACGCCCACGCCCACACCGACGCCGCTCTGGACGCCACCGCCGCCGTTACCTCCGTTGCCACCGCTAACGCTCACATTGCCGCCGGCGCTGCCGCCCCGATGGCTAACGGGACTGCCGCCCGACGTGTCCAAGTAGCCGCCCACGCGGGAGTCGGGTGTGCAGGCGGAGGGGCGGACGGGCATACCGCCCGCTGGATTATTCTGGCCATTGGCCTGTGTGTTGCCACCGTTGGCTCCATTGCCAGCTGCACCTGTTCCTGCCCCACCGCCACCTGTGCCGCCGCCCCCACCTCCGCCGCCATTGGAGCCGCCGCCCGTGTTCCAGATATCCTTGTAGCCATTGACCGTGTCGGCCTTAATGTTCAGGCAGTCCTGTTTGTAGGCGCCGGCTCCATCGCCGTAGATCTTGTTGCAGGCGGCCGTAATGCTGGCATCGTAGGGCGAGTCCTGGGTGGTGCGCTGCAGATGGTGGTTGGCATACGGACTCATTCCGAGGCTGAGGGGGAATCCCCGGTACGCGGCCGCCGCAGCACTGGCCGTCTGATCGTGGTGGCCACCGCTGCCCATCGCCATGCCGGTGGCCTGGTGCGGATGCCCGTAGAAGCCGGAGGCCTGTTCAAAGTACGAGTTCATTGCGCTGCTGGCGGTGAGAATTTTGGCGGTGCTCCGTCCGAGACGGGCTGGGAATCCTAGGGGGATAGCTGCTGCTAATCTATCTTCGATTTATTACTCCTGGAACGGCGCTTGGGGACTCTGATTAGATTCTCTCCTCAGCTGTTTTTGGCGCTCATTTGCCTTGTGTTTAATTTATTTATCTTTTGGAATCCTCAGGGAAATAATTCCCGCTCTTCTAGATTTTTAAAGATTTTTATTTTGTTTTTAATTTTTTTCTTTTAATATTTCCGTCTTGACAATTTTTCCAAATTTGGGTTTAAATGTTTTTTGAAGAACTTTTGCTTATGAATATTTGGTAAATATATTTTGTTTTAATTATTCAAGTGTTTGTTTAATTAATTAATATTTTGTAAAATTTACTCAAGAACCAATTGGATATCTTTTCGATTTTAATTTAATTTGTTTTAGCACTCTTGTATATTTTAAAATATTTTTCAAAAGTTAAGGGACTTTGATTTAGCTTTGTAAATATTTTGTAAAAGTTAGTTTTGAATTATTGCACTTTCCACTTAGCACTAGTCTTTATTGAACTTGAAGATCCAATAAATAAATATTAATTTAGCAGCACTATTGTTTTTTGTTTGCAGATTCACAAGTGTTTCGTATACTTTGTTGCGTTTTGGTTTCGTACTTTTAGCCAATTGCACTTTGCTGTTAATTGAATTCGAATTTGAATCGGGATCGGAATTTCAATTATAATTTGAATACTTGTTTGTTTTTGTTTTCGCCGTGGCACTATCAAAGGCCCGTAAGCGTTACGATTATTACTACGTTTATGGTTATTGCAATTACTATTATTATTATTATTATTTTTATTATTATTATTATCTTTATTTTTATTAGTTTTATTGGCTGACCGAACGAGCGCGGGCGATTTTGAGGGATTCGCAGATTGAAGTCGTGGAAAGCGGTTTTTCCGCGCGGCATTCACGGGCGGACGCGTGGGCGATTGTTGCCGTTGCAGAGCTGAGGGCCAATAATAACAATAATGCCGCTGATAATGTGGATAATAAAACAAAGCGCGCGCCTGTTATCCAAACCGTTGCCATCGAACGAATGTGCCACCAAATCGCAGTTGCCAGTGTTTTGACTTTGCTCGCCCCGAAAACACTCAGAGACCGTCGTCTAGTCACTCGACTCGCTCTGAGTGGTATTCGGGATCCCCAAGCAAAACACTGAGAGCGTATAACCAGATGAACTCAGTTCATTCGCTCGCTGGACTCAAACATGTTCGAGTGCTCGGGCTCTCTCCTCTGGCTTTTCTCGGGGTTGTCGTTCATCATTTGCGCGTACGGAAAATCCGCTCACTGGCCTGCGACAGCCAACTCCGGGAAATTCATCATGGAGGAGGGCTGGATTTTTCCTATAGGCCAACTCACTCAACGGAGTGGCGAAACCCGCTTGCTGTTCGAGCCGCCAGTCGCCAGTGGCCCTCCGCTCGCTGCACATCTCGCATTCAGGCGGTTTGAGCACAAATTTTGTTTAAGTTTTTCATGATTTTCCGCTGGCAGAGACACGAAAATGTTGGGTTTTCAGGTGATTGCCGAATTTATTATGTACTGAATTTGGTGGTGGTGTTTTGATTAGATTTTAAAATGAAGAAAGGGTGTTTAAGAAAAATAATAGATACGTTAAAGTATTCAATATTTCGCTATGAATATATCTTATTTTATAAAATTTATATTTTTTATATTCCAACAAGTTATAAATACAAAAATAAATGTTTTTTGAATAATTAATATGTAAAATTCAATTTAAAGGCTTTAAGTTAGATTACTTTTTATTATTATAATATAGGAAGGTACCGAGTTTATTAATAAAGTTTTAATAATGTTTATATATTATATACATACGAATATAGATTTTTACTATATTTTTAAATTAGCTTGTAATTGTTTCTTTATTATTTTATTTATTATTTCTCACTGTTTCCCCGATGTCAGTGAATACATTTAAAGTGACTTTTTAGTTCAATATTATTGATTATAAATCGTTTAGATCCTTTTTTTTTAGAACTATTATGATTTATTACCTTAGTTTGTTAAAACTTATTTACTCTTAACCTTAGCGGTATAAAGACAATTTTTTAAACTTTTTAAAAATATATTATATAATCATATATTGTGCAGAAACCCACAACAAAAATATTTTAAGTCAACCATATTGTGGAAGTTGCAGAGTGCCTCACATTCTCCTTGGCTTTAAAATGTGATTCAACCCAAGAGCCGGAAAATTTGTGGGCTGCGGTTTTCCTTATCCTATTCGCATTTGAATTGCAATGTTCAATCCGTTGGCCAATACTTTCAATGGGATATTAATGTCAATGTAAATATGGCTGCCAATTGGTGCTAATAAATTCATATGCATAATGCAAATAGATCGGGGTCTTGCGAGCCATTCGCGAAAGTTTCGCAAATATTTGTCAAAGTTTCCACATTCGCACAAACGGCTCGTAGATTAAGCCAGAAACCGACGACGAACAAACAAAGTTCCTTGCCACAAGTGTTTGCAAAATAAACTTATTATAAGAAGAAATTTACTTTTCTGCTTTTCAGCCCCTCTTCCATCCACAGCCCCAAAAAATTTCCCCGCCATTTTCCACCCAGCGTTTCGGTGCCAAGTCTGAAAAATCAACAACAAGCGATGGATACAAAAACTTGCACAAAGCGCACGGATGTCCACACACAGATATGTATACACAAAAAGGCACTGAGGAAAATTAGTTATAAAAAAAACTAAATTATTAATTTAAATCAAGTTTAAAAAACATATTTTCCCGAACATTTTATTTAAAAATGAAAATATAAAAGCAGGATTAATATGTTTATGAAGAGAATTCAGAATTTTAATTATAGTAAACTCATTTTAAATTAAATCGTAATTAATTTTATCTACAGATATTTTTCCGTCTGTACCCATTCGAATCGGAGACATTTTCCAAATATGCGGCTGCCAAAAGCCCAAGGAAAGCGAGGAAAGCAGCAGCAAAGGCAAAGCAAAAGTAAAAATCGCAGTCGCAACTGCAAACTAAATATCGTGAGAAGTCGGGAACACAGAGAGACTCAGGACAGAGGACACAGGACGCAGGACACAGAACGAAAGAGCCAGGACCCAGGGGAGGACTCGGATGCGGATGCGAGTGCGCAGGAATGGAGGGTGTCGCGGGGATGACAGAGAAATAGCCTCATAACCATTTGAAGCCATTCGAAGGCGCATAAAAGGATCACAACAATCGCCGAAATGAGCCATAATGAGCTCGTAAAAATTTTGCTACCTAATATACTCGGGAATCTTACGGGTGCGAGTATATTCAAACTTGCCACGTTATGGGGTATGCAATGGAGCCCGGGTCCCCTTCGCTTTGCTGTGGCCCAGGTCCTGGTCTTGGGACTTTGCCCCTGCAGGACCTCCTTCACGGGCAGAAAGTTGAAGCTTTGCGTTTTGTTTTTGTTCAACATCGATGATTGTTTTTCGTCAACTGCACATCCTTTGGTGGTTATATAATGGAGACTTTTGTTGATGTTTCCTAAGTTTTTTTGATTGATAAATTAGGATTTTAAGCTTTATTACACTATGCACTACGTTCTTGATTACATTAATTTACTTTGTAAATTCTTCAATTGTTGGAAAGTGCGAATGAGATGTTGAGCTGCATACACAAAAAGTAATACTTGTTAATCATATACGATTATAAGCGCCAATACAATTCACTTACTTGGCTCTATGACAGCAAATCTTATTATATCCGCATTCATCATCGCCAGTATCATCATATTTTTGGCAGGAGGACTTTTTCCTACATACTGACCTTTCAGTGACACCGCAATATACTCTGACTCTGGCCGCCTGGCCGTGTTCCAAGAAAAGTAAGATCAGCAGAAGAGCAGCAATTGTCCAGTATGGGGCCATGGTGGGAAGCTCAAGACGAGACTGATACAGTCAGTCGACAGTTTGCAGCTTTTAAACTCAATCGAGGCTTCTTTAGAGGGAACACAAAGCTTATCTGTTGGGGCTTGGAATTATTTTTTACTAGGAAACCAACACATATATAATATTCAAAAATATCTTATCACTTGGATTACGTATTTATTATATTTCGGAGCACTGAGATGTTAAGAAGAAAGACTGAATACAAATAATTCCTCGAAATATTAAAAAGTTTGTGGAGCTTTCAACACTGCCAAATATGTTAATCAGCAACTAAAGTTTTTGTTAATACAATTATTAATACAAAAGCAGACTTGATTATGTTTTTCTTGGGTGTTTATTGATTCATTGGAATTTCAGGCTTAAAAGCATTATTCATTTAATTCTTTTTTAAATGAATATATTTTTTATTTGAGGGAAAACCTGCACACAGAAAAAAAATATTTCTTAATAAAATAACGATTTAAAGTTTTAATCCATTTTACTTACCTAGAATAAGGACAGCAAATCATATTAAATCCGCATCGATCTTCTCTATATATATGACGATTATTATATATTGAGCAGAAGAACCTGTCCAGACATTCTGAGCCGGCATCGCAAGCGACCACTCTGCCAGTGGCCTGAAACTGTCCTAGGATGACTGAAATCAGGAAGAGAGCAGCAAGTGTCCAGTGTGGTGCCATGACGAGACGGAACTGATACAGTCAGTCGACAGCATCCCGCTTTTTATAGCCATCCAAAGTCAAAGGTCAGTCGCCAAATCTGTTGGGATTTTGAATTGTTCTCTTCTAGGAAACCACCAATAGCTTCATAATGAAATATAAGTTATCACTTTGTTACTAATTTATTATATTTCGGAGAACAAAATAATATAAATTTAACAATGAGATTAAGTAGAAAGACTCATTAAAAATAATGCCTAAATACTTTTAGACATTCCCAAACTAATTCTAATTTTTGGCGTACTTATGGTAGATTTCAAATTCGACCTCTGATCCAATTATATTTCTAAGAAAAACTTGTTTAATGTTTTATTTTATTACTTTCAAAAATATTATATGAATGAAACTCCGTAATCTGAGAGTTTTTACATTAAATTGACATAAGGAATATACCTTAGATATTTTGGGTTATATATAATTCTAATTAGGCTTCTCTCAAAGTCGTAGTGAAATGAGTTCTATTCCTGATTCTCATTTCGCATTTTTCACTTCGATTCCCAGGGATTTGCATACAAAGCGAACTCATTTTCATATTGGCCAAATAGCCAGCCGCCTCCGCTGTCAACGGTGGCTTGTTGAGGCAATTTACGAGGGCTTCCGTTCTGCGGGAGCAAGTAGGGTGTCGGGGGAAGAGGCCAGGGAAAGCTCACACCTGCCGGGAAAGACTAGAAGGCGCTGAATGACCAGAAAGCCCAGTTGCCCAGTGGATATGGACAGTGCTAAACGTGGCCAATTAGCCCCGAGGCGGCCGAATCCGAATCCAAATCAGACTCCGACTCCTCCCTCGCACTTGGCCCGCTGATGGATGGGCCTTATTCGCTTTGGGGCAATTAGACAAGCGCCTTAATTGCCACCTTGGCAGCTTGTTTGCCCCGGAACCTGCTGTTTTATTGGCCGCAATCGCTCAAATCGAGCGATGCCACTCGAATTGAATCTGTGTACATGGCACGAAGCAGACACCTCCCACTTTTTTGGGGTTTTGGATTCGGGGGGAGCCACTTACGCAGCTAATAAAGCAGCAATTTGGCAGCTGGAAGCGCCGGCGCTGACGCCAGTCCAGAAACATCAAAAGGCCGAAAAAGCAGCAGATACAGATTCAGATACAGCTACTCAGCCAGCCAGGGGAGATCAAAGTTGTGTGGCCCGGAGGTTTATTTACACAGAAACGTTCAACAAAATACTTGTACACCCCGCCAGCACTCGCCTTTTGTTTACGAAATGTCTATAAAGATTTTGGCTCGTTCTTTCGGCGGTTGTTCCATGGTGCCGAGCACCTGTTGGATGGTTCACTTGAAGAAAATATTGTGTACCAAAAATCGTTATCATCTTTTTAAGACCTTTTTGTAAATGGAAATCAGTTTTTAATATATATTTAGATTTTTATTTTTAT